ATATATACACAGGCTCGTCGGCCTGTTGTGACATTCGCGGTGGGGGTGCTATGTGTATGGGGGGGGGGTGCATAGGTGGCGTGCCGGGGCTTCTACAGGCCAGTGGTGTTGCACTCTTGGGATGCCTGGTCCTTCATGTGCTGGGCTGGACTTCCTCAGCTGCTGCTTCCTGCTGGCCTGGCCCCCGGCCAGGGGCCGGCTTGCGGTCACTGTCGGCTGGGTGGGGCACATGAACAGCCCAACAGAGGCTCTGTCAGGCTGTCTGTGTGTGCCTGTTTATGTCTTGTGTTGGGTTTTTTGTGGTCCCCTCTCTTGGATCAATTTGGGCCCCCCCATTTAATGTGGGGTCTACGTCCCCCTGTCGCGCTCCCTTCCGGTGACAGGCCCCCCTATCACCAGTGCATTGGTGGCTCTCGGCATCTGGGGCTGGGTGGTTGGGTGTGTGCTGGCCTGCCCTGGTGGCTGCCTGCCAGGGCCTGGGTGCCCTGGCTCTGTCGAGCCTCTGTTGGGGGGTGGTATGGCCTCGGAACTCGAGGCTCGGTGTCCATGGCCAGATCTACTCTGGAGGGGAGGGTTGCTGGCAGGGCCTGTGTGCTCGTTGCTGCAGCCTCCTGGGGTTTCTTCATTGAGTTTGCTGGGGATCGTCCAGGGCTTCCCTGTGCTTCTCTCTGGGCAGGTGCGGTTGTACCTGTTGGGGGACTCCCGGAGCTCCGGGCTTGGGCACCGCTGTGTTTCTGTGGCTCCTGTGGCTCCTGTTTTCCCTGTGTTACCATTGTGTCCTGTGGGGACAGATCTGTGGGTCCCCACATCCATTATTGAAAATTTTTATTGAGAAACCTTACTGTATAGTGACAGGCATGCTCACACAGGTGTTTAGATTCAGGGGTTTATCAGATACACACTCAGTTGGGTTGTGGTGGCCACTAAATACGTCTTGTATTACCATGTACCATATAAAATACTTTCTAATGAAGTTATAAGTATCATTGTATATGTTGTTTGTTGTTGTAGTTTCTCGGTTTTGTCTCTTTTTTTCCCCCC